CAGTCCAATTGGTAACAAGCTTATGTTACGGCAGTTCTCAATGGATAAATGTTTAAGGAAGATTAACCCGGATATAATCTGGGGTGGAGCAGAAAGGCTATGACGTTCACTGATCTTCAGAGACTGTAGGCAGCTGAGGTTTTGCAATTACTGTGGCAGAGATACGTGCTCCTCGCACCAACGAATTGTCAATGTTTTTAGAGAGACGAGGTTCCCCAAACTAGGAGGGATGTACCGAAGATTGGGACAAGAACTGTTGGTTAGAGAGATGAGATTGACATTGTTTTGAAGCAAGTGATCCAATAGAATCAACTGTCCTGTAAAAAATCAATAACTAGGATAGAAAGTGAGGATACATTTATCACCGATGTTAGCGAAGTTTCATGGCAGTTCCGTAATTTTAAATACTTAACTGAAGGAAATTGCGGCATGTTCTTCAACCTAGGGCATTTATTGATAGTTAATTTAACAAGTGACTGAAATTCTTTCCCCCCATTTATGCTCCACCAGAGTTCCAAATCAGGGAAGTCTATGAGAGTTAGCTTCTTTAACGACCCAAACAAATCTCCTCGTGTATTCTCCATAGAACTCACGGCCAATAGTCTTCACAACATTCATTCGACACATGTAGATAAGCTCTAGGAAATGAAATTCCCCTAAAGTAGGGAGATGGTGACATGTTTTGCAGTTGATCGACCCCAATTTAGTTAAGCCTAGAAGTTTGAGAGTACACATCCATACGATATCTGGAAGAGAATGACAATAAACAATCCTCCAAGTACCAATCATAAATCCTATAAGTCTGAGTAATTTGAAAAGACAGAAACTAGGAAATGAGCTACGAAGCCTAGTGTGTCCTCTAAAGTAAAGTAGATATCGAAGCATATGCAAAACAATGCAATTAAAGTATAAAATTAAATCTGAATTTAATGAACAGAAAGCATAACCAATGACACCCTATTTTACCTTTCGCTATAGTTAAACATAATGGGGATATAATCCCATGAAGATGTCATAACGAGGAATTAATCACATGCAGATGTCAGAACAGAGAACTAATCCCATGCAGATGTCAGAACGAGGAACTAATCCCATGCAGATGTCAGAAGGGTCAACTAATCCCATGCAGATGTCAGAAAGGGGAACCAATCCCATGTAGATGTCATAATTGAGAATTAATACCATGCAGATCAGAAATACATCAATAAGCAGATAAAAAGTGGTGCGACATTATTCAAAAATATGAATGATATAGGTAAGTGCAACCAAATTACAAACATACTTTAAGCAGAAGTATTAACATAGCAGTCTAACATATCCGAGTATCAATTAGGTAAAGAATACACACCTAAAGAAGATACTCGATGTCAGCTAAGCCTTACGCTTCTCACGGTCAGTAGTATTAGGTCCTGCGGATCGAGAACATAAAATAATACTCTACCATAAATACGGATTCCAACTACTAAATAGAATATGCCATAAAATACAAATCTAATACTTACGCGTATCTCAGGACAAGTGATCAAAATCGAATTAAGGAGGGCGAGACTGATCAGGGTCAATTGGAGAGCGCTCCAGAGATGTGAGGATACCTTCAGAAAATTAAACCCAAAAGTGAATTCAAAACCCCACACTTTACTTAACATAATTAAGATTTAATATTAAAAATTGAGGTAAAACATGTCTTTCGGGTCATAATTTATCCAAACTTATTGTGAAAACGGAATCAGGATGTCGAAAAACATAAAGATAGGGGGTTTTGGAAAAAGTCAACGGTCAAAGTCAATGGTCAAAGTCAAAGTCAATGGTCAAAAGATCAACGATCAACGATCAAAGTCAATGATCAACGGGTCAGATCGGATTACCGATTCAGCCAGTTCGGTTTAAGGGTGACCGATTCAGCCGATTCGGTCCAAGGGTGATTGGTTCGGCCGGTTCAAAACTGTCGAAACATTCCCACACGTGCACGACGACACGTGTGGGCGCGTGGAATATCGTTCGGCAGCGATTTTCACACCAAAATTTCCAGAAAATTAATTCAAAGCATGGGAAATAACTTATCGGGGTTGGTTTACAGAAACAACGTCAGAAAATGGGTTTCTTTAACAAAACCCGAAACTATTTCCTCCCCGATAATTCCAACACCAATTGCAATAAAAAAAACGGTGACCACTGGACGAACGGGCATGACACGACGAACAACGGGGTACTGGAGGTGTAAACCACAACCAATGGAATTGACAAACAAAATGAATTAAAGCCAAAAGCGATGCTTACATTTTTATTTTAAAAGAGAGGGAGAGAAAGACTAAGGTGGTGTTTGTTTTTGCATAGGTAAAAGGTCTGCAATCTGCGGACTACATCTGCAGGCATCTGCAGCAGAAGAGGTTGACCAAAAGTCTGTAGTCTGCAAGAAGAAAACTGTTTGTTTTTTAACGTCTGCAGACTGCTAAAATTAACTGAAATATAAATAAACTGATTTTTTAAACTATACTCAAATAACCATTTTTTCTATTAATTTTTAAAAATTATAAAATGTCATTAAATTTAATGAATTATTAAAAAATAGTCACTATAATGTTGTAATAAATTATAAAAGTTCGATAATATAATAATTATTTTATAGTATTTAGATAAACTTATTAATAATTTTATAATCTTTTAATAAATTTAATAAGTATTTTATAATTTTTTAAACTTTATTGACGAAATGATCATTTGTATATAACTCAACGATATCTAATATACTTTATTTGAAAAAATATTAAATAAATAATATACGAATTTTATTATTATAAATTATTACATCTACGGACTATTAGATTTTGGTTTTAATATTATATATCATTTTAAAAATTATTATTAAATCAATCGATAATGAAATCAATTTGATTTTAATTCAATCTGATTGTTTCGTTTAAGTAATTGTTAAAAAATTATATTTTAATTCTCAATTATTATCGATTCACAAATATATCAATACTCGATTTTATAATATCATTTAAATCATCTTAATTTATTCGAGTGGTACAATTCGATTCTAGTAACATCAAAAAATATATATAATATATACTTCATATAATATACATCAATTAGTATTTTTCTATTTAGAAAAAATATATTTGTTTTTTATTTATTTATTCTGTATAAAGGGACTTTCGTACTTTACCAGAATTAAACGATAAGAATCAGATTTTTCAATAGTGTGAATATTTTTTTATTAAAACATTTATTTTGTCTTTTAATGCTAATAATTGTATGTCCCCGTGATTTTCTAAGTTTTTATATAAAAAAAAAGTTTACTAAGTTTAATTGTATAATATTTTTTTACTAAGTATAATATATTTTTTCAAATAAAGTATATTAGATATCGTTGAGTTATATACAAATGATCATTTTCGTCAATAAAGTTTAAAAAAATATAAAATACTTATTAAATTTATTAAAAGATTATAAAATTATTAATAAATTTATCTAAATACTATAAAATAATTATTATATTATCCAACTTTTATAATTTATTACAACAATATAGTGACTATTTTGTAATAATTCATTAAATTTAATGACATTTTATAATTTTTAAAAAATTTATAGAAAAAAATGGTTCTTTGAAGAGGTTAGAAGAGCTTTGAAGACATAGGTCAACGTCTACGCCAAGAAGAGGACGCGCAGACGTTAAAAGAGTTTCTGTCTTCTAAAAAACAAACGGTCTACGAAGCGCAATGTCTGCGCGTGGTCTGCGCAGCGCAAACATAAGAGCTTTGAAAACCTTAAACAGTGAAAACAAACACCACCTAAGGCACGATCGGGATTTTCAGCAGGAAAATGAGAGAAAAATAGGAAGGGAGTTTTAAACCCACCTATGGGCATATTATATCCTAAGCCCCTGAACTTTCAGAAATTAATGATTAAGTATTATTATTTTTAAACCTTTTAATTTAGCCCATAACAACTAGGGTGTGACAGGTTTCTTAACATGATATATGTGTAATGTAATCAAAAGTACTTTAAGGTTATATGAAATAAATTATAGGATAAGTTATATATTTAATAATTAATCTATTATGTTATTTTTATTCTATTCGTTTAATTATTTTTTCCAAAATTTAACTTTTTTAAATAGTATAAGATGAATTCACTTAATATTTTTTAATAATTAATAAAAAAAATTAAATGATGAAAGAATAAAAAAATATTATAAGAATAATAAAATGACCAAAATGATGAATTCGTTGTAAAACTGGGATCGGAACATATTTTAAGCCTAAACAATTGATGAAATTTAACATTTGGTATAAAAATCCTTTTAAGAAAAAAACATTTGGCATAAAAAGGAGTAAAATTGATTTGTTTCTATATACATACATGTGTGTTTGTTTTGGGTTCACATCCCAATACAGATTTTCTTGCAAAGATCCCCAAGAAAAACTGCAGGGTTTTGCACTCGGTCTCTATTTCTTGTCATATATCGGCATATGTCAACACCATCCTGCCGTGTAATATAACAAACATTTTTACAAACCCTTAATCATTCAAAGTCAACTTGTATTTTCGCAGAGCTGTCTCTGCCCGAAGAAACCATGAAACATCCGCAACTTGAGTCCCGAAAACAAAGCATATATGACACAATGGATGTGAAATTTTATATTAAAGGTATAAATTTAAAATTTTATGTTAAAATTTTAAGGGGTATAAAATCAAATTATCGATTAAAATATAAAAAATATTTATTTTATATGAAGGTTTAAAATATTTAAATGATAAGATGACATCCTAACATCATTTAGTCTATCCCTGATGGTAATAACACTTTGCAATTACAGAGAAGCTAAACCATATCCAATGCATGAGATATGCAATTAGATCAGTCTCTCGAAGCTCTTTAAATCACACACTCAAATTTGGATGAGAAAAAGAGAGGAAAATGCCAATAAAGAACTGCAATTCAAAAGCTCATTCAACAAATTACAGAGAATTGGAAACAAAAAGAATGAAATAAAATGAAAACAAAAAGCTGCTCGTCTCGTGGTCCTTTAATTTTGTTCCTACGAACATCTTCCTGCATAGCCAGCATTTCTAAACAATGTTTGCTTTATGGCTTCAGAACTTATTGATGCTCTATGTTTCAAGTCCTGCATTAATGACCAAAACGTCTGTAAGAACATAACAAAGAACTAATTCTGAGACATTAGCAATTTTGGTTTTCCCTTTTATCATTGTTATTACCTCTGAGCAAGATGCTTGCATCGCAAAATCGTTGAAGCAACTAATAACACACTGTTCAACCTCAAGGCCTAATGCTTCCAACGTTGTTAAAGTCGATAACAGAAATCCTTGTTTCCCCGTGAAACAAATCTCAATCCTCGTACCCACACTGCTTCTTTCCACCTCAAACTGCAGGAAAACAACTTTAGGGACTTCCTTCAGGGTTTGGAAATAAGGTTTCACTAAAAATGTTGCAGAAAAATTCAGCACCTTTGGTGTCTTTCTGACTGAGATTTCATTTGGTTTAACTTCATTGAAAATGTGAGCCACATTTAACTCATTTGAGCCTGCTGCGATCTCCTGCTGCAAACTTTTTATCCTCTCGAGGAGCTCCTTGGTGTAATCTATGGTATCTCCAAGTATGGATGTCCTATCCATCTGTTAAAGCATCAATGGAAACAGAAACCAGTTTAGCCCCCTCAAAAAACAAACAACTTTCATTTTGACAGTAAACGGCTGTCTTACCTTGCTTATCTTAGGGACAATTGATCTTAACATCCAAAGGCGGTCGTTTAGCCGCTTCCTTCTCCGTCTTTCCGCCATTAGATTCTTCGAAGGCTGACCCTTTAATTTCTTGACTCGATTGTTGCGGTCCGTAGTGCTGCATGTCCCCATGTTGAAAACCAGCGCTTCACGTGATTGAATAGGTTCAACTTTGCAAGCAGCAGCTGCTTGGGCATCCAACATGTGAAGTGTTTCAACGAGGAAGCCGGATTCCGCTTCCTCCACCATGTTCAACCAGTGATAATCTTCTTGAACCGGAAACGGTGGTGTTTCGAATGTGCTGTTCGATGTGTCTGTCACTTGTTGTGCTGCCGAGAATTGATCACCGAATGGACCGTCGTAGACTCCGTTGAAGTTGAAACTCAAATCTTGCTCGAATGGCTGTGTAAATTCTTGGCAGGAGGAGTCAGGAAGAAAACCAGCAGCAGCAGCTGCATCATCAAAGCAATCGAAGTTGAAGCCATTAGAGAAAATGTTGTCCATTTCTGTTGGAACTGTGTCCCAATTGTCTCTTCTTAGAGCTAATAATTCCTCTAGGAATCCTTGTTCATTAGTATCCATCCCTCTCTCCTTTTTCTTGCCTTCTCTCTCTCTCTCTCTCTCTCTCTGGGGAATGCTATTATTATTACAAGATGGCTTGAGGAAATTAAAGTCCCAAACCAAGTTTAAGAATTTATAGCCACAACAGATTTGAAGTGGGAAAATAGTTGGAAATAAAATATTCAATCATGATTATTGTATGAAATTATATTGTATTTATTTCGCCTTTTAAAAGAGGCCTAAGATTGCGATGGAGTATGCTTATCCTTGGACTATTCAAATTTCAAATTACCATTTATTAATTAAAAAGCATTTCTATCTTCATTCAAACCTTAAACTGAGTATTATATTAAAAATATGAAATTTAAGCCTGACTGAAGAAAATACACATAACAGATTATCATGAATTTGTTTTGATTTATTTAAAAAGTTTATGATACAATATGTTTAGTGAAAAATTAAAATTAAAAGAAAAATAAAGATTTCTGTATATTTTTCATACTAATATTTGTTCATGTAAATATACATCAGCTCAGCTCAGCACCTTCCCACTGGTCCGTGCCATCAATCAGATTTGGCAAGAATGTTAGTTAACCGATGTTAAGATCCCGCGAATGTAATAAAGTTGCTGATGCAGTTGCAAAATTGACCTCACCAGAATCCTTCCAGACCTCTGTTCTGAACTCACCACCATCGCATCTTCATAATCTTCTATATAGGGGACTCCTCGGGTCCCCTGAATTGTAGACTGATTGTTATTTAATTTTCGGTTTATGTCCTTCTTTCAATTCCAAAAAAATAACAATAAAAAAATCAGGACATGATTTGGTGTAGAAGCCTGCGTCAAAGAGGGGTGATTTCGAGTCATTTTCACCGAAATCTCTCCAATAATTAAAAGAGAGAGAGAAAAGAGACGCATGATATTTTAATTAAATAAACTACTCAGCCAAGTTTGACCCATTGTATGTAGTTAATCATTGGGCCACGTAAGGCTGTTTGAATGCTTGCAAGTGAAGTGTTTTTTTTTTTCTAAAGTAGAATTATTCGGTTTTATTAATGAAACATGTACAAAATTATCACATAACTATCATTATGAATCTCGTTAAAAAAACATTTCTACACTTGATTAAAGGAAAAAAAAAGTGTTACATGGTTGAGGAGAAATAACACATCTATCATATTCAGCTACCACAAACTCTATCATCAGATTATACCCACTGTTAAAAATCAACATAGCAAGACCAGCAACCATCCTTAATCAAACCAATGCCATACGTCACTACTATAGGTACTCGGCAGCAATTTCATAAATGATACACCATCAAACAATCACTATCAACTTAAGCCTTATGCCAGCCTTATGAGTAGGCAAGTGAACTTGATTACATGACGACAGATAATCAAGACTGCAGCCTTTTTTATAATCAACACTTCAAATCAATAGGGGTTGTACGATGAGTTTTCATTTTCATCACCATTAATTAACAATTATTGTTATTATACCACTGCAAGTTGTAGCAATGAATTAACTTCATCTACGAACGAAATAACTGAAATCAATACATTCAAAAACCCTATGTGCTCTTGCATGAATAGTACGTATACGGTTGTTTCACGTTAAGAGAATGGTCAAACTTTGAATATTAGTTCAATTTAATTAAATACTCAAAATGGATTAAAGGTGCGGAACTCATAATTCGATAAAAAATTAAAAATATTTTAATTTTTTTAATTAATTATTGATATCCGGTCTATTGATCAATTAATATATATCAGATTTTGCAAAGGCCAATTATGAGGATGAACAATCCAACCCAATTTGCTCCATATACAAAAGCAACCATTGATCTTGTTGAAAAAAAATATTTTAAGTAAACGACAAGAGAATATTATTGTGATGTACAAAAATAATTTATCCTACACCAATTTAATTAATTAGCAATAATTATAACAACAAATATTTCATTTTAATTATATGATATTCAAGGTTATAATCTAATTAAATGTTTTTTTCTTATTTAACTATGTCCTACTCAAGAGTTTTGAGCTCGACTTTGTATAAGAAAAAGTCTCATCTAGTTGTTTCATGTCATCTTAATACCGTTCAAGACATGTCCACGTACATGGTCGTACAATATGTTGTGGCTGCTATTCGTCGCCTTTGCTAAAAAAACAAGTAACTAACAGTGGGATTTGAAATATTTACGGGTTAAAAGTCTTCATTAATTAATGTAATTATGACTTATTAACTTCATAATATATATATATAGTGTGTCGTCTCTCCATCAATGATCTCGTCACCTACTGATAACTTTGATGTAAACATAAACTTGATGCTATACACACTTATAATGTATATGTTAGCAATATTAAATTTACATTTCTAGCCATGCAATTTTTAATCAAGGTTAAGAAATTTTCTATAGAAGAATAATTTGTGGGATCAAATTGGGATTTTTTAGGGGAAATATTACAAGTAAACATAAAAAATGAGCTTATTAAATTATTTTTATACATTATATTGTCATAATTAAATTTTGCGAACAACTCAGCATAATTTATACATCAAAATAAATATTAGCAAACATCATTGCATTTTATGAATTATTATGCATCCATAATCGATATGCATATCTTCTATAATTGTGCTTGCTTTAGGAATTAAGGTTTAATAATTTATCAATATATAAATCGTGTCATTATATTAACACTACTGGCCTTTTTTAAAATTTTTATGGTTAAAGTTTTATGATTCAAATTTCATGTTAATCTAAACTGAAAAATTTATGCTGTAACCTAATTGACGAAGATATAAAATTGGGAGGAAAAAATAGTGATAGATACGGAGGCTCGTAAATTGAGGATATTTCCACACATTAAATCCGTACCAGACTATATTTTTTTACATTAGACATTGAGTATAGATTAAATAAAATCAAGATTGAGTAGAATTCTTATCATGTAAGTTTCCTTTATAATTGAATAATTACTCTTTTAAATACATAATAGGGATTACGGTTATGAGTTTGTCAATTAAGCCTTGGAAGTTGTGCATAAGCGCATTTCTCTTGCACTCTTATTACTTTTGGCATTAGTGAATTTCTATGTTTTTACTGTTTAAGATTTTCTCATAAAATTTTAATGTCCTGTTTTATTATACCGTGGTTTCTACTACTACTATTGTTATTATAATAATAATTATGATATTAGAATTCGAACTTAACCTTACAAGTTTAAATTTCTGGATTATAACAATTTATGCCAACACTCGTTGGCATAATAATAGATGATCTTAAATAATATGTTTTGACGCAATGATTTGCATATCTTGTAAATAGCTAAATAATATCAAAACTATCAATCAATAATATTAATATCATAAGCTTAATTGTAAAAGGGGATGGAAAGGTATTGATCTTTCGTATTTTTTGCTTATCATTTTGAAACTCTTTAATGAACTATATTGCAAGTAGCCAATTGTAGAATACATATTAGATATTCTTCCCAAAGTCATGGATTTCTAACCTCCTATATTGTAGACTATTTTACCCAAATATCATTAATAATTTCATAGGCGTATCTTATTAACAATTTAATAGATCATTTCGTACTGAAAACAACTAATATCATAATTAAGAAAAGGCTAACGGGAGATTGACGGTGGAACTTGGGGAGGGGAGACCCATAAATATTTGTATTTTATAATTGACAATGGCTCCCATCCACTAATATTATAGAAAGAATGAAAGTAGAAATGAAGTGAGGAGAAATTAGAAAATGGTGGTGAATTGAGAAAACCCACGGGCTGTTTCTCCCTACCGCCCCGACACTAAGCGGTTTTCTCAACAGAAAAATGTGCAGTGAAGCGGTTTTAACTCATCCCCGCCTTCACTTTCAACTTGACAGCCCACATCATCTCATTTTAGGGTTTTGTTATTTTGAGCGCAGAACACTAAAATCCATTTCTTTTTTCCTTCTTCTTCGATCTTATGATCTTGTTTTCTCCGTCTGAATTTGTCAGTTAGTGTCTTGTTTGCTAGTGGGATATTTCAATGGTAAGGGGATCCGAAGAAAATCATAAACAGTGCTGCCAATACAGGCTTTCTTGATCATTCAAGAAACGTAGGGTTATCTATTCTTCTTTTTATTTTTTATTAAATTGTAATATGATTATAAGTCGTATATATTTTATTAGTGCTCGAATTCAAGATCTCTAGAAACAACAACAATCATCTATATCCTCTTTAACTAATGAGATAGCTTGATTCGTGCTTATTATTATTCTTGTTATTTATTTTGGTTTGATTTTATTGTTCATATTATTTATTTTAATGTTCATATTTATTATTTATTTATTTAAATTAATCACTGATATTTAATATATTGACCGACTAATCTATATTGGGTATAGCATAATCGAGAGCGTCCCTCCAAACCCAGTTTGTTTCATTTGCAAATGTCAGAATTCAAACTCCTGATCTTACTTAAAAGATCTAGTGCCTCATCCTACTAGACCAACTTATTGTTGTTATTTATTTTTTGTTTCTTTAACAATATTGTTTTCAACACTGAAATTTATGTTATTTTTTTGAAAATGTAATTTATTTTATTAATTCAATAATTTAAAGCTAGTAAAAGACTAAAGAGAGAGAGTAACTTATAGGCCAACCCACAAACCAAATTTATCAAAAGACGTGTTGAGATCAAATTCTCATCTGCCACACAAAATAAGTTGTAAATTTACAAAGAAAAAAAATCCTTCATAAATTACAAAATAGTTATGTAACTTGATAATGATAAAATCTTAATGTTTGAAAATCCTTTATTTCATAATTTGTAGGCTAATTAATACAGCATTTCATATTGTTTTGAATAATTTTTTTTAATTTAGGGTACATACAAGATAATATATGTTCAAAAAGAACTCTCAATCATTTAATTTTGAACGTTTATATCTCTGATATTCATGGAGCTCGAAGATTAAATCTCAAATAATAAAAATAATTCTTTTATCACCTAAGTCACTTAGTTCGTGCAGTGTTTA